AAATTCAATGTCACTTTCGATTTGACCGCAAATAAGATGAACCTTGAAATTTTAAGTAGGCCATCCTGTATTTCATCTAATATTCTTATAAAAATACCTTAGAAAAATACCTTATAAAAATACCTTATAAAAATGAAATTTAGCTAGCAACTATGATTCTTTACCTCTTATTTATCTACCAAAAAGGGCTAAAAACTACCTTTAGAAAACATTCTTATAAAACTACTTTTTAAATACAAAATTTCGTTAGCAATAATGCCTATTTACTATTTATTTAAATTAAATGTTCAAAATTTTACCCTTTTGTAAATTTATGTAAGTAATATGAAATCTGATTTCTGATGCTTAATATTTATTGAAACCCCTTAATGCGGATCTGAAGTATTCAGCCCAGAGAATCATGGCGCTTTATGTCAAAACGTTAATAAATATTTACCGCTGAAAACGAATTTATTCATAACAGTAGTACTTGTATTATAAGTACATACAATTTTTCAAGATACATCGTGACATTTTGAACTTGAAATTGAATAACTAGAACACTTTAAATTGCTAAAATACCAACAAATAAATCAAAAAACAGCTGTCAATGGTGATAAAACTCAGGTGGAGGTGATCGTTGAATGGAAATCGGAGCAATTCGGGTGGTGTCGTGCAACAATGATTTTCAATTGGTGGGTTACTTTGGCTTAAAATAGACAACATGCGCAGTGTGCAATGTTACATCTTCGGTCTCTTTAATCTAAGGGTCCAATCTAGAAGTTATTCAAATTCTTGTAAATGGAAGTATGGAACCATTATAAAACGTTTAGGAATATTGCATTATTTAGTGAAACTGGATGATGGATATACTGTTAAACGACGCTACAATCAAATTCAACCCTGTCAAATAGAAAATCCATAAAAATCTACAGTTGAATCTATTCCTTTTACTTTAATCGACACTATCGTCTCTACTTCAAATTGTGAGAATAAAACTGAAAGTAGAAAAACAAATGACACCACTTTTCCACATAATCATGAGTTAATTAGTAAAACAGATAGCCCAACAGAGGCAAATCGACCTACCCCTACATTCGATGCCATCGATTTAGATCATCAGCAGAACACCTAATTAAGGCGATCCACACGCATTCGGAAACCAGTAGAATGTTTAGGATTTTAATATATTTTAATGTTAATATTTTTTGTATAGGGTAAAAAATGAAGGGGACAGAAACTGTTCTATACTATATTCCTTGCTACGGCCTACACGTTATATACTATGTACCTGGCTTTGACAATCAATGCCAGTAAGACCCAATGACATATATAGTTTAAATAGACTGCTTATCCATACGTAAATAAAACGATGAAAAGCGGGTCGAACTGGGAGATGTTTTCTCTTTGTCTAGTGCATGCAATGTTTGTGTTTTGTCTCAATTTTGAGTGCTCACTGGTAAACAAACCTTTCACAGGACCGGTTTTAAAGAAAGTTTAGTCTAGTTGAGATTTTGTTCTCATTGTCATTACTCAGTCGGACATTTTGTTGAATTGTTTATTTTATTTAGTTTTAATTATACTTATGTTCTGTTTTAAGTTTTTTATTATTTGAGTGTAAAAACTTGTTTTGTTTTTAAATTTAAATGGTGAATTGCTCTATAAAGGGTTGTAAGACCAGCTACAGAAATATAAAAAGTAACATTTCATTTTTCACGCAAGTATCAATACAAGTATAGGTACAAGGTAAATACGTTTGTAATAATTTTATGAATTATAATTAATTATAATAATAATATTAATAATAAAGTATTTATTGTAAATACAATTACATAAATATTATTATATTCAAAGGCCCGAGTTAGAGCTATCTGGGCTTTACAAGTACATTTTAAAAGTTAGTTAGATAGAGAGAAGTATCATATAATAAAAACTCAATATTAATAGAAGAAAAACGGACATAAGTACCAATACAGAGAGACAAACACTTTTATTCTTTGATAGGTTCTTTCTATGTGAATTCTAGCTCTGGCAATTTTGGCATTAAGTAAAGCCTCTTGATGGCTGAACTGATTTTTTTTTATTGAGGAAAGGAGGCTGTATAATTTGTATACATTCAGATTCTGTTATGTTTCCAATAAGAAAACCTTTGTTAAACATTTTACTATCGAGAAATGATTCACACACTTCAAGTATTGATCTTTGTTAAAAAATGTCTATTTCTGAAGTTCTACCACCATAAGCTTCATTTTTGTAAGTAATGAGACCAGTAGGTGACACTCCAGTCAATATTTTAATAGTATGCCTCTTTTTGTAGTCAAGAGTAATTTTTTAGCCTACAGCAAATACATTTGGCTTGCTGTATTGGGATTTCGGTACAATCAAGTAGTACTCTTACTTACATAGAGGCACATTATTTAATATTTCTTGTTTTGAAGGCCGAATCATACCATACTAAGAACTTCTACCAGTTTTATTAAAAACTGTTAAAAAATTTAATGATAAACAGTTTCATTCACTCCAAATAAAATGGATAAGACATTATATCTTGCATATCAGTTTTCAACTTCATAAAAGTAAATTATAACTTGATCCTTTACAGACATAACTGATCTCCTTTTTCCTATTCTTTAGAAACAACTCTGCCACTAATTCCACAATGGTGGCTAATAACTGGAAGGATTGCAATCCTATTAAAGTAGATAGTTCTTTAGCACTAACAATTCTGTTTGAAAACGGATCAACTAAATCACCACTCTTCACTTGTGTTGAACAATCGATCCCAATTTTCTGCTTTTAAACAAAGTTTTGTAAATTAAGCAAAGCTCTTCAGCAGCACACAAATCTTCATTATCTGCTTCAGTAGTAGATATATGTTCATTAACTGCAAAAACACATTAAACATAATAATAATTAACCAAACATTTTAAATTATGCATACGTACATCCATTGCCTGAAGAAGATAACTCAACACTTAACATTCTACTAGTACTGGCAACATATCATTATTAAAGACAGTAGCCATAATCCTTGTTTTAGCTGGATTACTTTTCTTTTTATTAATAGTCGCTTTCTTTTTACCACTAATCTGAGCTAACTTACATCGACTAAGCTTAGTTGTACGTTCTTTTTGTGATTGTAAGTCAGAATCTTTCTTTCCCCCTTACCGATGCTAAGGTACACGGATCTTGACGTCAACTAAGATTGCACTTTGTACCTAGTTCATTTTACTATGATGTTGATCAGATTTCCACTGGTGGAATCTTATTATTATTCATCAAATCATTCACATTCACCGCCAAAATAATCCTTAATTGTCTAAAGGGAACAAACTTTAGAATGTGAAAAAGCTACCAACTTTTAGTAAAATCTTTAAAAAGTTCATTCAATTTTTGCATAATATCTGCTTTTATAATGCGAAAGTAATTTTAAAAGAATAATCAAGTGTCCGAATAGTGCCACTATCCAGTGGTCGTGGTCTAAAGTTAGTTATATACACATGAGTGTAAAATTGTTTATATCTATGTTCAAAATTGGTTAGATCTCTTAAAATGTTTTGAAAATTGGGAAACTAGACGTTATGACTCAAAATCCTTTTTTAAAATACCTAACGCAAGCTCCTGTCTTGAAATAAACATACAGATAATTTTTTTTTTTTTTTAATTCAATTCCTACTTTGATGAAATATGAATTTTAAACTCATTTGGGCCAGACCGATTCTGCCTGGTGAGCACTCGGCAAGCCAAGCTATATGACCCGCTTTTCGTCGTCTTGTTTATATATGGATGAGCAGTCTATTAATCTATATATGTCATTGGTAAGACCAAAGTATATTAACTGTTGAGTAGCGACATAAAGCGTCGGTGCCTTTGATCTTGGGTGGTGCAAATGTTCTTTCTCTCACTTTTGACGTTATTGACGGAACGACACACTAAAACACTGCTCGAATTATGAACTGGTCTTGAATGTGATGTTTACACTGCTCGACGTAATTTGAAGTAAATCTCTTTTGTAATTTACATTTATAATAAAGGTTTGGTCATTAGGCAGTTTTATATTTATGAGTATTTAACTTATGTAATAAATATAAAAATATATATTACTATTGATAAATTTCAATTTTTTTACCTACGTCCGGATGAGCTAGAGACTTGAAAGTTGGTAGGTGCACGCAGGGTTTTGATTTTTGATAACAATAGAAATTATTACTTATGGGCCTTCTTATTTATTAATCGAGTTGTCACAAACTTTAAATTTCGCGTTGTTTAAACATGTCGCTGAATACAATTTTTGACTAATAAATCCACAACGAATTCCTATATCAGCTGCCGGACCAAAGTGAAAGGGGTTGTTTACATCTTTAGAAGACGTCTCGCCTCTCTATTTCGCGTCGGCGCACTAGAATTCGGTTCCTTAGCTGTCGCTACTCAACGGTTAATATAATTTGGTAAGACTTAAAATAAATAACGTAAAGTCAAAAGAATTCAATTTCAACATAATAGTTTGCAACAAATTTTAATACCTGTTGAAGTAAAAAAAAACTTAAAGTTTTTATTATAGGTATTATTATTTATTTAAAATACACGACAAATACAAAAATGTTAAAAATGCATTATCCAGAATTGTTAAAAAAAACAAACCCCTAATTATTTTTCTATTTCACTCTTCCTACAATATACACAGATATGGGACTAATGGGAAAATTTAAATTTTCTTAATTTATTGGTACACGTCACGGGGCATAGGGGATTTCAACTTTAACAATTATTTCTTCGGTCTCCAGTGAGATCTAAACGGCAAAATTATGCTAAAGTACTTTATAAATGGTAAAGTTTAAAATAAAGTAATAAAAAATTTGACTGTTATAGTCCATTGTGTGTCCTAACAGCAGACGAGCGATTTTTTTATTTGGTATTCTTTTACCTTTACACTGTCACTGTCAAACCTTTGGTAATTATGAGACAGTATATTTTACTCAAGCTCTAGGACTATTTAGAATTACTACAAATTAACACCCTACCTGGTGATTAATCATCGACTGCGCCAAAACGTCTATGTTGGGACTACCGGGCGACGTCAGCATCTCCAAACTCTTCCGTTGATTCAAATCCAAAGTCAACCCCGAAAGAGCCGAAGGTGAGAACGGCATCCGTTGGCTGTACCACTGGTTGTAATAGGCGGCCATGACTCGGGGATCATACGTGGGAAACCCAGGCGGCATGGCCGGATATATGAATTGATTCGGACTAAGGGAAGGTTTTGTTGGGATATTCGGAACAAAGGGGTTGGGTGGTGTGAAATTTCGAGCGATCTAAAAAAAAATATATTTTTCGATATGAAGAAATTATGGGACAACTGACAACTCAAATAAGTAGTGATGGGACTTTTCATGAAAAATCATTTTTGGACTAGTCCGACGGACATGTCCGGAAAAGTAATGAAAAGTAGTGAAAAGTCCCAATGAAAAGTAGGTTGGTTGAGCTTGGGCATAGAAGACACTCATAATGTCTGTCGACCCTGGATGTTTGTTAAAAACACTTTGGGAACCAAATAAGTCGGTAGTTATTTGTCGTTTCTTCTATTTTAAACTAATTTTTTCTTTGTTTCTAAGAAATTCAGACAAATTAGTTAATTTAATTTCTCGCAAGCGCAATACACTTTTCCACTTTTGATAAGTGTGTTTGGACTAGCCAACTTTTCAGACTAGTCCGTCGGACTTGTCTGTGGACTTTTCCAAGACCCATCACTACAATCTAGTAAATAAAACGTCAATCTTTTACCTTATTTACCTTATTATCTCTCTTGTTTCCGGTAGGTGAACTAGTAGTCTTCATCTTCGGCGAATGCGGGCTCTTGGGTGATTTCCTCTCGTTCTTGGGCGACGAACTCTGCAACTTGAGTGGATTGGTGATGGAAACTGAGCTAGTGTTGATTTTCAAATCGTTTTGGATGTTCAGCAAACTGCTATTCATAGTAGTAACAGCTGTGTTCAGGCACTGACTGGGATTGGGGTAAAGCTGACCCATTTGGGTTGTTAAATTGTGTGGGTTCAAATTTGGTGTTTGCAAAATTATGCTGTGATTGCTGAGGCTTGTAGTCTCTGGAGCTTTTTCCGATACAGGTTTTAAGGTTTTCGGATCGATTTTAACGATCGAGTGCTTTTTTATTTCGGATTTTTCCGTTTTCATGGTTTCCTGTGATTTATCTTTTTCCGGACTGACATGGACTTGGTACATTGGTTTCACCCCTGATGCTGGGTTGCCTAAATTAGTACAATATATTGGAATTATTAAAATTGTGTAATTTAATGTGAAACTAATTTTAAATTTGTGGAGAATAATCCAGACAAAATATGAACAGGGTTACGAATTTTAAACAAGTGCGAGATCCATTTTTTAGATGTAATTTTGCACATTGAATATGATGTGTAGGGTTCCGTGTGATTTGAGTGTCAGAACACCACTAAAGAGGCAAAAAAACTTTTTAAGGGCGTTATTGGATAAACTATGTCTGGCCATTGCCGGACGGTTTTTTGGTTTTGCTTTTTACGAAGGAAAATTACTCGGGGATAAATCATGAAGGGTTCGGCCATAGGGTAAGGTTGTAGGGGGTGAAACTACTCCCAAACTTGAAAATGCAGCAAATCTGTTTTTCCTATTATTTTTTAAAATTGCTCTGGAGAGTGGTCAGGGATGAAACATATATATCATCCACCAAGAAGGGTGAAAACTGCCCATCAGCAAAAAACCTTCTTGAGAATAGATAAGTGAATAATCAAACGAGGAAGATAGACACATGACCAAAAAATACTCTGAAAGTTTAGACTTCTCAACTAATCCGCAAAAACAGAGAGAATTGATTTCCAAGAATTTTTTTCTGAGGTAGTTTTTACCCTGCTAGGGGGATAATATATTATCCACTTTCCCTAGGTACAAGATACAAAAAAATAATAAAGACACCGATATTTTGTTCTATTTTCAAGTTTGGGAGTAGTTTCATCTCCTCCACCCCAAACTTATAGCCAAACCCTTCAGAGTACATCCTCGTACCATATCCCTCAAAAAAAGATAGAAAGAAACCATCCCGCAATGACTAGATAGCCCGATAACACACCTATAAAGAGTGTTTTTTGTCTTTTTGGTATGTTTCAAAGCTCAAATCACCTCTGGTCTCATACAAATTTTACCAATTCGTCACTCTACCCGTATTTTGACTGGATTAGATGACAATATTTGAATATGGATTAGTGTCATGGCTAAAAATGTATTAGACATGTCAATGTTAAGAACTGAATTAAATAATTCTGCATACAATGGGGAATTCTCCTTTTTTTATTTCAGAAATTGAAAGATATTGACATATTAACATAGGTTTCACTTTTTTTGCAATTCATTTTCGATTTCGAGAAAAAAAATTATTAGTGTCTAGGTTTTTAAAGTTTAAAGCGTTACGTTCGTTATTTGCCACGTAATTTCTAGACACTTCTATTGGTTTATGTTGAAGATCCTTCAAAATAATACATAAAAAATCTAGAAAGCCAACACTGGCTTGTATAAATTTTAAAAGCCAACTTTAGCATGTATAGAATTTCTCCAAAACATTAAGTAATCCGCGTCTCGGGACAAGTGGATAGTTCCTTTCAAGGCGCTTGGTCAGAAGCTTCGTAGCAAGCGCTTTCTGAACGGTTTCATCTCCACCGGCATTTAAACAAGATAATTACTTGTATTGTAATGTGGTCGTTGAAAGCAAATATACTGTCGTGAATTCCTAATCCGACCCTGTATACGCACGCAATCAACTCGTGATCGAAGCAACGCTGACGTGTGGAAACAGCCGGACCGCGTCGCGAATGTACAAGAATACGACGGAATTGTCTGCCGCTGATGCACTGGAAGCGACTGGAATGGCGGAGAGTGCCGCTTAGTCATAAAAAGGAATGTTCGAGAGCCTCTCGTATCTTCCAGTAGCGGAGTTGGACTAATATCAATAGCCGACGTATCAGTGCCGAGTGTAGTTTAATGTAGAACATTGTATTGATCAGGAGTTATTGTACAAAAAAACGCATATAAAAATCAGTGGTGTGTCTAGGGCTGTGTTTGAGCGGCCCCTGCAAAAACTACCTCTTTTATTTATATTTTTGTATTTAAGAAGCAAGACGACATGTTGAACATTTACTAAATTAAATAGTTTATAAAATATGTATAATAATTATTGTCAAGTGTTTATTTTTAATTGTTAATTTTTTGTTAATTCTTTAAATAACAAAATAATTTTTTAATTACTATTAAATTTAATAAATACATTTCCAAACTAACGTGTATTTTTATCAGGCTCATGGTGAACCCATGAGGACAGGTGGTACACCATTTTTATGGCGCCAATCCAATATTATAAGTACCTTTTTTACAAAAATATAAATAAAAGAGGTATTTTTTGCAGGAGCGGCTCAAGCACATCCCTAGGCACACCACTGATTTTTATATGCGTTTTTTGTACAATAACTCCTGATCTACTCTTAGTTTTGTTGATATGTTAAGTCCAGGACGGACGAATTGCTCTAGAAATTCAGTTAAAAAATTGTAAATAGCTCGTTAACTAAGAAAGATACAAAGTTCACTTTGCTATAAAAAAAAATTTAAAAATGTATTGTTCTTTTTGATTTTAAGATCGATAAAGCAAGTTTTTTTATGACAAAAAAAATACGGGGGGGTTAAAAGGTACCCAAGCCCCCAACTTTTTTTAAAGGGGTCGCTTTAATTTTTTTTTCTCTTTAGAATATTGGGCTTTCAAATCTACAGCACTGGCAAAAATTTTAAAGAAAAAATCGCAACAGCAAACTTTTTACAAAAAAAAAAACGTTTTTCTGAATGTTAGTTTAACGCCCTGTAACTTTGTTGGGAGCCAGTTTTTGATTATAGGTAAATATAGCCAAATCCACTTATTTTTTGGTAATCTATCTGAGGAAGAATTTATGACATACCTTTTTGAAACACCCTGTATAAATACCTAAAACTATTAGGTTAGAATAAAACACAACACAACTGACAACCGATATAATAAATACAACGTTCAAAAGATTGAACCTAACTTTTCTGAAATCCCTCTCTCATTTCTCTTAAATGAGAGAAAAGGATGGAAGCTATTTTCCGAACACAAAACCCTAAGAAACAACCTTACAACGTTGTCAAATGTACATATACACAAATTTGGCAGGGTTTCTTTTGTCATATATTTTAAATATTTTTCATTATTTTACATATTTGCTTTTCAGAAGAGAATTCCCCACTATTCTATTCAAACTAGGAAACTCAAAATTAATTCACTCACCCAAATATCTAGGCATGTTATTCCTCATCTTAAAGAACTTGGCAGGCCTGACGTTTTTTAGATCCGGATATTTGGGATCAGGACTAGATTTGCTCAGATTCGCTTTGGAGATTTGAGAGTTCCAACTCTTAGGGGGATCCCGCAACGTTTTGTATCCAATAGGCGTGCTGGGTTTGGCCTTTACTGTACTGTTCGGCGTCTTCGCGACAGCGTTCTGACAGCTTTGCGGAGGTGTGGTGTTGGTGGTCGTTGATGTTTTAGTACTGGTACTCTGCGTGGGTTGCAGCTGATGGGATGGACTAGTATTTGGAAGTTTATTGTTGATACCCTAGATAGAAAGTTGTTCATTAAATTATTGTCTCATGATTTGACTTTCGATAGTTAATGAAGAAATAAAACGATTTTTCCGAAATATGAACTACAAAATGATGTTCTTACCTGATTTGAATTTGGAGAAACTTGAGACGGGCTAGTACTTGGTACTTTATTCCCACTTGAGTTGCACTGAGCTTGAGCCTGTTGAGCTGGACTAATACTTGGTATCTTATTTGATGTACTGACAACAGGCTGACTTAGAGGCGTTGGACTACTGCTTTGTGGTTTATTTGAAATATTAAGGACGATGCTTGTGGGCTTGGTGATCGTGTGATTAGGCTGCGGTTGGGAAGTATTTAAGGATTTTGGAGTGGAATTTATGGTGGGTTGTGATGTTATGGAAATAGAAGCGATGGGAGATGATTTGTCGGTTTTTTTAACGGGCGTTGTCCGCGTTGAACAAAGGGAAGTAGTTCGTGCATCTGTTTTTAAAGAACTGAAATAAAATTTGAAAATGTACCTCATCAAAAGCAACAAGTAATTTTTCTACTTACATGCTAACAGCGGGAGCAGAGTTCAAATTATTTAACGGCCTTGGCACGTTGATCAAAGGATTATAAATAGTCCTAGGTTGGTAACAAGGCGGTTTAACCCCTGACTCACTGATCAAGGTCTTCGCACGCATCGCCAGCGGCTTGGAAGTCGACGTGGAACTCCCCATTCTACCGTGAGCAAAATTTTTGTTCAAAGTGATCTTCGAAGTATCCACATCCGTTTTTTTATTAAAAGTGTGTTTTATAATTTCGATATCATTGGATTTGGTCAAAATTGAGGTAGCTTCAGTGGATTTTATATCAGAATCAAATGAGATTTTCGTATTGGGAAGATCTCGTACGTTTTCACCGTTTCGATTCATCTTCGCATGCTTCATCAGAGGGTGGTTATTCGATAAATTGTGCAAACCAATGTTGTGGTTCAATATGATCGGTTTAGGTTGTTTTGCAGGTGGTTCGGATTCAACGTGAGCATCTATTTTTCTTTTTATTCCTTTCTCTCCTTCTCTCTCTTTATTATCTTCGGTATGAGCTACATTTACAACTGATTCTTCTGTTTTTGTACTACACTTTGAAGTATTTATTGTACTAAAAACCGTCGTGGTGCTTCCAGAAGAAAGTGTAGCACAACTGCTAGAGGGCGATGGTTGGGAAAGTATTATGTGATCACTAACTATTGGTAAGGTGAGAGTTGGGACAGTTGTACTTATTGTGTTAACAAAATTTCCAATATTCGCCGTAAAGTTGTTGAGATTATCAATTGGAAGTGGATTTGATGTAGCGGGTGGTAATGTACAAGGGGTGTTGACTGAAAGGAATTAAATAATATAATAAAAATAAAATCTATATTGTTTTGAGCTAACCTTTTCCGATGTATTTCAAACCAGGCAACTCTTTTTTTATTTGTTGTTGTTTTACCAGCACTTTTGGATCCCCCACATCATTTTTGTACTTTGGTTCACTATTTACAATCTCCAACAAACTAGGACTGAGGGAATCTTGTATACCAGTTATGGACATTTCTCCATTCTCACTTATCCTCAGTTGCACCTCCTTCCAATTATTATTGTTGCAGATATCGTTATTGTTAATATTGTTTATGTCTAACTTTTCCACATCGTCAGGATGATCAAGTTTCAATTTTTTAGCGGTATTTTCGTAAATTCTGTAGGTAAGTTCTATTGGTCCTTTCTGAAAATACAAATACATTTAGAATGCACCAGAAATTAGGCCTTTTTGATTGTCCTAAAATATTTTACTGGATAACTTACCCTTTTCCATAAATAAATATAAGCTATATCAATTAAAGTTAGGGAAGAACTAAGGCAATCTTGATTGTAGAGAATATCGACTCTATGATTTTCAGATAAGTCATATTTAGCACGAATCAATTTCTTCAGGTGTCCCATAGTGACTGCTGCGGGACACCTCAAGTACCTAAAAAATGGTAAATTAATCACTTTGGAGAAAGATCAAATATTCAAAAAGACATAAAATAATAGTAACCTTGGTTTGTTGTCTGCTCCATGATAACTAAGAGTAAGGCAAATAGTTTCTTCAGGAGTCAACAGATACTGATAAGCAACTTCACCACACTGCTCCAAACTCGAAGGTTTTGCTTCTGGATGACTCTCATAGAACTGTCTTCTTCTTTGCATTTCATCTACAAAATATATGGATGCTACTGATGCTCAATAGTTACAATAAATACATCTCCACTTACATTTGTTAATATTTTTTTCTGTTATGCCTAAAAACTTATTATAATGTACTTACTTTGAAATAACCTTGGTACAAGTTTGTAGACAATGTCCTGAAGAGTTTTGTCAGGTCTGATGTTGAGTAATGGCTTTGATTTGTGTACTTGTACATCGCAGACAGGGCAGTATTTATTTTTTTGTAAATACTTAATGATGCAGCTGCGGCAAACTAAAAACAAATGTCTCAATCATTCTTAAGTTTTTACAAAGAATCTAGCAGATAACACACTATGGTGACACCTAAAACCATAAAGCTATTAGGCAAAATATTTATTTTAGATTCAATAATTTAATATCATATTGGAAAATCATTAATTAAATTCTAATTCGATTCAACATTTAACAATCAAATTATAAAAATACGTTAGGGAGCAAACCTAAATATTTAAAGTTTAACATTCATGTGGGGTACAAACGTACCCAGTAAGTGTATCATAGCTCTATTCGATCTTTTACTGAATTGATAAATATTTTAGGTTGTTTATTTGTGAACTTGGACAAGTAGAAGTAGCTGAGATATATGTTAAGATTCAAAAAGGAAACAAACCATCGACATCTTTTGATGCAAATAATATCGGCAGTAGAATTGGTCTAATAAGCTGCTTTAGACTTCATTGCAAAATGTGTAATCTCAGTACAGATTTGAACACTGAAAATCCAAAAGTGACTACTGAAATGAATTTAAACTCAGCTGCAGTATTGGCTACTCTATCAACTGGATGTGGGCACACACGGTCCAGCAGTATTCCATAATGAATATACTACAAAAAATGTCTTTTAGATAATACTCAGCTCATAATGAGTTGGTAAGTAAAAGTATTTTTGAAGCAGCTTGGGAGTCCATGGAACAAGCAAAACTGAAAGAATTGCAATTAGCAAAAGATATTGGAGAAGTAGATGAACCAGGAAATGGTCTAATCGCAGTGATTGTTGACGGTGCATGGTCAAAACGGTCATATAAAGTGAATTATAACGCTTTATCTGGAGTTGTAAGTTTATATTTTAATATTATAACGTGTGATCCATAAACAATATTTCTAAAGTAAGCCATAATAGACAGAATTGTGAAGAATCCGTCATGCGTTATTTTTCCATGGTTACTTTAGAAACATTTTTATATTTGACATAACATATAAAGGGTTTATTTTTAAATGCACTTATTTTTACAGGCTTGCATTATTGGGACGAAAATTGGAAAAGTTTTGTATGTTTCTTCTAAAAGCAAGTATTGTTCTATATGTGCTCGAGTTTTAACTAAAAACATAAAAGCTGCAACTCATAAATGTTCAAAATATTGGGATGGTTCGTCGACTTCTATGAAATCGGAACTAATTTTAGGATTCCGTAATAGTATAAAAATGCACAAATTAAAATATGTAAAAATTATTGGTGATGGAGATAGCAGGGTTTACAAAAAAAATTGCTTAGAGACCCTACGAAAGAACAATGGTCCGTAAAGTAGAATGCATAAACCATCTTCTCAACAAGTATAGCACAAATTTTCGTGATCTTGCAAAAAAAAATACAGTTCAAAAATCAAAATAGTAAGTCCAGGATTAAAAAAAAGTGAGTAATAAGATTTTGAAGTTACGAGTGGGAATTAAAGCGGCTGTAAATTACCACAGAAAAAATACGAGTGATATTGTTGACAACGTGAAGCCATTAACTGCAGACATTAAAAACTCTCCTTACCACACATTTGGAAATCATTCAAACTTTGCACAATATTTTTGTAAAAGAGAACAAAATGACAGAAATGGAAGAATGCCATAGTTTATTATTAAACATGACTAATAATGCTGCAGACATATAATTCAATCGTAGCCAAATGTGTTGGAGGAAAGAGAATTAATTTTGCAGTAAAAGGAGGATATAATGTTCGGTGTACGGCTGCAGCCATTTCTTTAAAAAAAAAGAGAGAACTATATTCCCACTCTTTATAAAATGCTGTCAAAACGTGTTCCTGAGATTCACACAAAAAGATTGGTTACTCAAATGAGCAAACGTAGATGTACAAGAAAAGCCAGGGGCCCTCAATTGAGAAAACGCAAAAGTGGCACACCTAAAGATAGGGACTACGGACGATGATGATGATGACGATGTTTTGGAATAAAAAAAAACTGCAATTTTTGATAGTTTACCAAAATCAATAGAAGATATTTGTAAAATTGAAGTATCTACTAGAGGTCAAGCCAGTAATGATCTGTGGAAAGAACATCGTAGTAATAAATATGCTCACGGCTTCAAATTTTGGAAACGTTTGCAAATTACGCAAAACAACAGATCCAAAAAGACTGTTAATAACATATTATTTTCATCTTTTTACGGATCAGTCGCTACAAAATGGGGATAAGATCATGAATCTATAGCGATAGAAGAATTAAATAATAAATATGGAAAAACGGTACAAGAATGTGAACTATTTATTTATGAAAAACGTCCATACTTGGGGAGCAAGTCCAGACGGCATTATTAATAATAATGAAATATTTAAAATTAAATGTACATATTCTTGTTCCAAATTGACACCAGAAATGGGTTTTCAAGAAAAAACAAATTAAATATCTAGCCAACACAGATGGCCAAATTAAATTAAAAAAATGATAATTATTATTATCAGGTACATGGACAATTGGCTATAACGAAAGCCAAATATTGTTATTTTATAGTTTGGACCCCACTAGGAACGTTCGTTAAGAAAATTGAGAGAGATGACAATTTTTGGTTATGTACTGAACCAAAGTTAGTTGATTTTTATTTAGAATATTTAATAAAATAAATTGTAAGAAGAAATTGATGTAATTTTTTTTTGTGATTGTATTTTGTTATGTGAAATTAAATGTTTCATTAAAAATATTAGGTAAAGTTTTTTTTTTTTTATTTAAGTATTTAATTTATTTTGACCTGTGTATATTATCGAATATTGGTAAATAATAACAACAATAATGTTTATTTACAAAAAATACGATCAATAATTATTTGTATAAAAATCCCTTACTATTTCACCTTAGAATATAAATACAATTAATTTAAATATAGTTAATCATTTATTTAAAAAATAATTCCACTAGACGACCCTCAAAAAACGTTAATCAATAAATAAGAAAGAAAAATTTCGAATCCGTCATCTAAGTAATCAATAAAAATATTTTCTGCAAAGAAATTATTATCAACACAATAGTTACAATATACAGACAAATTTGGCCAGCCCGCGTTTCAGGTGGAATTGAATACTGAGAGAGATAGGCGTACCATTAGACTGAACGGAGAAAGATAGAATTATTACACATACAATTGTCTTTACACAAACAAAGAGAGGGTTGCATACAGAGATATTCTATGAAATGGATGAGGTACCTCTCAACTTCGACTGAACAGAAAGATTTAAGAAAATCAACAATAATGCTTAGAAACATTTTACATTGAATACATTTAAAAGTAAATAATAGGAAATATACAAGGAGATGCTAGAGTTGATACTTCTTTTTTAACAGCGTATACAGGGTCTATACATACATAGAAGTAATTAAAATAAATAACTTTAAAAAAAAAAATAAACAAACCATTGTGAAAGAATATTTTAAATTATAAAAGCATTGCTTCTACTTAATACTTTCAGCCATCTTAATAGTTGAGGGACATTTCTGGATTTAATTTTTCATAGTTCTTGCAATGTTGCAGTATCTGAAGCAGTGGCGGCCTCTGACTTGTGTAATAGGAAGGGGTGAGTATAAGAGCACCAAAAAATCAATACCAAAAATACAATACATATTTTCGTTTTGTAATCTATGCGTAGATAAGCTAATATCCATGTGGGTGTAGAAAAATATATTTTTTCGACGACCACTACAGAAAATCACATATTCTGAATTGTTTCTTTAAATTTTATATAGCTTTTAAAACAAACAGGATGCCAGAATGCTCCAATTTGATATAGATAACCTTGTTAGATGATGTAAAATAAATCTACTCAAACTAAACCTGAGAAAATACCATGCATTAGACAGTCATCCACTTCATAAAGTTGATACTATAAAAGATCTTGGTGTTACATTTGACCCCAAGTTGTCATTTCAATATCATTATTCCTTTATTACATCCAAGGCATTGAAAATGTTGGAATTTATCATGAAATCATCCAAACATTTTTCAACTGATTCGATAAAATTATTATATTGTTCGTTGGTGAGATCTAACATTGAATATAATTGCATGGAATCCCTATCGCCAACAGGACATAGATTTCATTGAAAGCGTTCAACTTAAATTTTTAAAATTTGCTGAATATTAGATGGGAATTTCTAGTGGAAGTAGTAATTACAACAATATTTTACTAAAGCTTAACTTGAATTCTTTTGAGCAGTGTTACACAAAGTGTGCTCCGCGGAGCCCAGGGGCTCCGCAAAGCCTTTGTAGGGGCTTCGCGAAGAAAATAATAGTCAAAATAAAAAAAAGAAGCAGTACTAACGCCACAAAAGGGAGGGACCTGGCTTGAGGATCTTTTTTTTAGAAATGTTTAGGACTCCATCAAATATTACGCTTTTCAAAAAGGTTCCGTCACCAAAAAAGTTTGAGAAACACTGGTCTAGTTAAATCACATATTAAATCTATAAAAAAAGGTGTGTTCCATATTAAGTCCTTTACTCTACTTACTATATGTAAATGAACTACCAGAAGTAGTTAATGAAATTTTAGTACAATATACCAATGACACCTCATTAATTTTTAGTGAACCAACACTTGATTTATGCAAGGGAAAACTAAATTCCACATTAAATACATTAGAACATTAGTTTAAAAACAATAAGTGATTAATTTTAGTTGTGGCATGGATGAAAGCCTCACATTTACATACAAGGACAAAAATATAATTTCAGAAACCTCTGTCACATTCCTGGGAGTGACGCTTGATCGGATATTGGACTGGAAAGAACATATTCAACAAGTATCCGGTAATATTTCCAAATTTAGCTAAGCTCTAAGAATACTTTCAGTTAATATAAATAAATAAATATATATATTACGGAAAAATCCATTAGTACCAATAAATTACATAAAATAGCTTAAAAAAAAAAGGTAGGCACAATAAATCTAAAATTTCATATATGAAATGTAATAAACTAAACTAAAGATATTAAAAACAAATTCTCTTTACATCATTCACAAATTGACTAATAGAACACCCAGTGATGTCTAAATTGTATTGATTAGCCAGTCGCATTAGTCTAGGTAGAGGTGCATGATAAGCATAATTGGTAAGGTGAAGTTGAATGGCAAATAAACTATTATTTCTTGTAGTTCTTGTGGGAACTCTAAATTCAATCATAGCTAATAACTCATCAGAAGTAATAATCCCGGCTATGATCTTATGGAGGAATGATAGATCCATCAATATTCTTCTATTAACAAGGGTTGGGAGGTTTATTAAGTCCAGAATTGTGGAATAATTATATGTACCTGCTGCTAGACCAACTTTAAAGGCACAATATCGTAGATATTTATTTTGGACATTTTCAATCCTTTTAACAGAGTTTATGTAAAATGGACACCATATGGTAGAGCTGTACTCCATAAATCAAACTACTGCTCTAACTACATACTATGTCTATGTGCAGTCTAGAATTAGTTATAAAATAATTTTCTGGGTTAATTCGGCAGATGCACAATGTATATTTATTTTACAAAAAAGTTGTCTTAAAAATATATACCACCTGAAAATAGGAGATAGCTGTAAAGATTTTTATTCAAAAGAAGATATTAACCACAATGTGCTTATATATCTTGGAATCGATTATAATTATCAAACAAGATTATGATCAATGAAGTTGAACATATCTATAATACCAGATCAATATGCACCCCAAAAACGGACATCCCAAGATATACCTATATCCAAAAAAATGTAGAATTATTATATTCAAAAGATTTGGAGTAAGATGCCTTTTGCACTAAAGACTTTAAAAAATCAGACCACTAAAATTAAAATTGAAGTCATTCCTGTGTGATAAAGCATATTACAACTTAAGACTAATTCTTCTATGATTCAATAATTATATAAAATATTGATTATTAAGAACAAAAATAATAATAAAAATGTGTTTAATGTGAATTTATGTATAAAATGTATAATTATGTACTATGACATATTCTACACCTCTAAAGGTATTTTTCGAGTAAATAAAGATTTCTTTCTATTTAAAATAAAATATTAAAAAAAAACATTTTTAACATATTTAAAATAACATTTTTGTATCCCAATGATTTGGTACATTGACAAATAATAAATTGTGAGGAAAAATGAGGAATTTAAAACAATTTAGTAATACAGAGAAATCAACTTACATGTCCATATATCAAGACAAATCAAGTTTATAATTCAATATATAAAACTACTTAAAAACATAAGGGAATCTCAATTTTTATACTATTAGATACTACAATTAGAAAAAGTAAATGTTTTATACCTACATCTAAAATAGTGATAAAATTATATTAAAAATTTAACAAAAAATGTGTATTAGTTATCTACTTAGAATGGAATATGGTTTTCTAAAATCAAACAATACAACATAATTTTTTTTGTTAATTTGCAAATATGTATTTGGATATGCCAATGTTTATTAGGGATATACAATGTATCTCAAAACTAAGGTTTACCTATCTAGGGTACTAAAATTAAAAAGTGGGACACTGTTTTCTAAATGATTCTAAATTTCAATTAGTATAAATATTATATACATTTTCTGTGGGATAATGACTGTATCTGAAACCTAATGTACGTTGTATATTAAAACAGAATACTCACATGTGTGCAAACATTCTATGATGGTACTAGCATCTACAAAATAACCATTACATATTTTGCAAGTAATATGGGCATTTAGGTCAGTAATAGGTATCTTTGTGGATCCTTGCATGATCCTAGTATTATTTGACAAGCCTTTTCATATTCTGACCTTTTGGAAACCCATATCATTACTGGTATTGCCCATATTGGTCACAAGCACTTGACCTAAAAACATTTAATGGTGCAAAACATGTAAAATAGTATATTATTTAATTTTTACTTTAATGCAGGACTTACCTAGCTAAAACTTAGTGAAAAAGTTGATTTTTTTAATAAATATTATTGTTTACTTCTAAAATAAATATTTGACAGACCAACCTTGAGCAGATTTGACAGATTGCGATAAAAATGGCGTCATAGCACATTTAGCAAAAAAAATGTGAAGGTATTTCTAATAAACTGCTATCTAAAATTATATTTCGAAGTTACGAGACCTCTCGTTTTTTAGATCTTATTTAAATTATTTGAATTTATCAATTTTCGTTTAGACTTTTTTGTTGACAACTGCCACAAAGTCAAACGCACTTCTTTTCACAAATACCAACATAATTTAATTGCGTTAGTATATCATCCTCCTAGGAATTGTTTGTTTGTTTCTGTTACCTTAAAGTGTTTCTGAATTATTTGTTTTGCCACATTTACACACTCATTAAATTCTTTTAGGTAACAATTTAAGAACTAATTATGTTATTTACGTTAATACTAAAGATCAGTGGTTAATATCATGATACAAGGTAATGTTAATATCAATAAAGGAGGAAGGGTCAGATTTGGCAACATGGCAATACAAAATAGCATAACCACAGAGTTATTATTCTGTGGCATAACTTCGATATATGGGTGTTGCGATTTCGCTGTCAGCGATTTTGTCGCCGCTACTTTCCTATCGCTGGTCGAACCACGCTGGTTCATTCAAAATCACTGCGACTTTTTGAAGCCTGTTTTGATTTACACACGTTTCTATTCAGGCACTATTACTAAAAATTAATGTCGCATCGCATATTTATCTAATTTGAACTGGAACTGCGATCAGAATATATTATATAGTTCTAATCGCAGTCGCTGAAATTTGTATAAAACGAGTAGGACATCTATTGCTGCGTTTGAGAATCCACATCGGATGCATTTTTTACATCTCGAGCGTTTTTTTATCCACATCGGACACATCTGTCCCATTACATTTACGTATACTGAACCACGTGATCAAAGATTTTTTTACATCTCAGATGCATCCGATGTGGATTCTCAAACGCAGCATATAATAATTAAAAATGTATTTTGGCGGCAATAGTAATCGACCGTAATCTTTATTTAAAAAAAAATATATCTTTTTAAATATTGCACAAAGAGCGTAGATTACCAAAGACATGAAAAAAAATTACCGTATTTAAAACTGCTTCCAAGAAAATGCAACGATTTCAAAAATATCAGCTATAGTTTGTTACGTGCGGACAAGATACAAGATCACAAGTCGCGATCTCTTACCGCTCCGAAAAGTCGCGGCGATTTGTCACTGCGACTTTTTCGGAGCAGTCGCTGTTTGTCGCTGCGACACGAAAATTTTGTCACAACATACGATATGATCAAAGAAGTAGAGAGGGTAGAACGATAAGGTACCATCCACGGTGTACTATAAGGTGTATCAACTCCTATTTAAAAACAAATGAAAACGGCGATAAAACCGATCGTACTTCCTAGCCAAAATCCGCTAGGTTCGCTAGTATCTATCCGGCGAGAAAGTAAATAAAAGATGAAGGTTGGTAGGAGCTGCAATTTGAAAAGTGTTGACAGATAAATATTTTTTAAAATCTTAAAATATATAAATCATGGTGGATCGTTGAGCTGTTTTTAATTGTGATTGTGGGAGAGTCTTCAACATATTGATAGCAGTTTTATAATGCCAAAAAACAGTTATACAGAATATGGTGCAATTATTTAGGTGGTATGGAAATAAACATTAAACCCAAAAGTTCCATTTGTGAAAAACATTTAAATGCAAATTATGTTATCCGTGAAAAAGTGCTAAGAAATCTACTAGGAAACGTTATTTTTCAAGTAAATATGTTTAATGTCTACGTTTTAAATGATTGTAGGTTATGTAAATAGGTTATTCAACTTTGTCTTTTCTATAATAAAAATAATTATTAGTATAAAGTTTTACTATATAAATATTTCGTATTATTTATCCTGTCCCCTTGGTACTAATAATGTTATGACTTGGACCCTATTATAATGTGTTCATGGTATAAATTTCATATACACAAGGTACCTATTTCTTTTGATATTTTTCTGACCCTGCGAATAAATAAAATCTTTGACTTATTCCTTTTAGCCTGATTATAATGCTAGAAAGTTGTATCTGGTTATAAGAATCAAATAGATACTATGATAAATTTATTTTACTTGTAGCCTTTTTATTTTCAAGTGTTTAAATATACATTTGTTTAATAATAATCATCCCCGAATGTGTTTTGTTCCAGTTCTTTAAATGTATTTACTAGGTTTTTATAGCAGTACTGATTTTAAATTAATACAAATTTGAGTTGTAAGAAATATTAAGGATTTTTTAATTCTGTATTTTTATAGGAGTTAATCCCTAAATAAATGTAGTTTGGGGTCGTAGATGTTGGTATTTGTGTATTGAATAATGTGTACATACACTGGTTAATAATTTAAACAATGTTTTTTCTGATGTACCTAATAATTATTTAAGGTTATCTTGTAGTTGACGAGTCTAGAAATCCGCATATTCACACCATTCCGCACTGAAGTCTAGAATTTGACACAAATTTGAAGTTAAAAATAACGATCCTATTACTTGAAAATCTACAGATTCTTTTTATTTTTAATCAATGTAAAAATTGGTAAATACATGATAAAAAGTAAAAGTTATTTCAATATGCTTATTCCCTGGTTCCAGATAATTAAATATAACCTTGCAACTATATGTTAGGATTCCAACTATCGGAACAAGAATGGTGCATTTCCAGACCCTTCAATTATAAGATTACCATTATTTAATGTGCAGTGCAAATATAAAAAAAACTACCTAAAAAATGCTGTTCCTGCTTTTATTACTTATGATGGGACTACTTCTCAAAGGAGACGAGAATGTGGAAAGTATTGCTGATACAGTTACCGAAGTTATCCACTGGAGGTGAAGTGTTAATCTTTTAGGAATATAGGAAATATTTTTTTATACCTAACAACTTAATATTTATTTATTGATAAGTTATAGATACTATGTATTTGAAATTCAGAGTAATCATTATGACAGCAGCATTCTTATTGTATTCGGATTCTAACACAAATAAAACATTCATTAAATTTTTGTTAAAATTATTAATTTATTAATTTTACACTAATAAGAAAATTAACAATACACACAAAATTATTTAAAATTAGAAATAAATACAATTTACACATTTCCCATTATTACACTTATTTTCTTAATTTATTCATTTCTTATATTAACAATTTCAATTAATAATATAGTTCATTATTTAATTGGAACTCATTTTATAATTTTACTAATTATTTTTTTATATTTATTTGTGGAAAATGAAATATTAAATAAAAGCATAGGAATTGTTCTATTGGATAATAGCAGTAATGAAAAAATAAGTAGGAAAATTTCAAATGTATAGTTTCCAGATTTATTATGAGTTTTTTATATTAATGTACTCAATAAGTAGGTTTATTATGTTCGCTTGTACACGTCACAGTTAGCAGCAGACAGTAACAAACCTGACAACACTTCTGATTTCAGAAAAACATTACAACAATTTGTTTTACATTATATATTTCAATAATATAATAATCATTTATATTTAATTAATGACAAGGTTTACTTTTTAAATAAAACTATATGAGCCCTGTCCCGTTTCAATTAGCACACTCATATTTATAGTGACTGTCACTACAAGAACAAATCATACATAAATCTGATAAATTCTTTTTTTTAACCCTTTCACTTCCACTTTCATTAAAAAAAATACCATTGTAGTAGATTGTATGTTTTCTTTGTTTATTTTAAGTAAATTAAAATATTTTCATAGTATTTTTTATTACTCCAAGACATAACGTCCCTGTTCAGGGACATTACAAAAACAAAAATTTACTATGAAAATAAATTTTTTTAAATATTAATCCTTGAAAGTAATGCAAATAAAGTAAATAAACCAAAAAGAAAAACATTCTACCAAAATTAACAGGGTTAATTAAGACAGTGTCCCTCTGGAGGGACAAATACACTGAAAGGGTTAAATATTTACAAATTTTCATGAGTGTTTCATCACCTTTAACTTTGATAACGGCAATAATTCATTAAAACATTGTATTTACAAGTTCTTGAAAATCTTGTGCAGGGAACCTACTCCATATTTTTAGATTACCCATTTGAATTAATTCTGGCAGTGATCTTGTGGGTGCTGCACGCCTCTGCTTAAAAATTATCACCCCATATACAAAAAAGCATCTTTATTAAATGAACAAGAAACTAAAAAAAAAATAAGCATTATTAAAAACTACAAAAAGTGCATCATTTGAAAATCCATATTCAAGCTCCAGATTTGTAAAATTAAAAAAATTCCAAATACACATTTAACTTGATCGATTATTTATTGAATAAAAGGTCTGTTCCAATGATCAGAAACGAACCACTGGGTAGTACACAATTTTGCAGTCTCAATAAACTACTGTGCAGAATCCTGATGTCAGTAACTCATTTCTGAGCATTGTTGGAACAAACCTAAAGTAAATCGAAACCACTTAAAAACAAGCACAACATTTATACTCGAGCAAATTTTTAATTCCTATCAAAATTTTTAATTACTGAATATTTTGTTCTAGTTATATTAAAATTTAAAAGTTCTTACTCTTCATTATAATTATATTTTTTATTTTCCCTATATACCTACATACTATCTCTAACATTTTACAAATTTGATGCCTAATTAAAGATTTCATCTAGCATTGCAGAACGAAAAATGTTTTTCACATTTGTATAAATCTTCTACATCTGTCATATTAGGATAACAAGATTGTATCTAGACAGGTAGTTATTTTTTGGAGTTGAAGTTTGTATAGCCATTAACTTGTTTGATTTTCATTGTGTTTCTAACTCTAATTTAAGAGAAAATCTTAAGTGATAAAAAATGCAGAAAGAACTAAGCGACCTACATTTTTTAGAATATTTGATAAAGCATAGTAGTAACTGCCAGTTAAAACTGTGTTTCTAGTATTTAGTTTAGGTAACAGAGACAAAGCTTGGAACAAAAAATACATACTTTTGTTAATTCAGAATTTTTAAATGTTGTTTTATATTATAAATCTTTCTAGGTATCCTCTATCATTTTTTTTATAATTTTCAATCAAAACTGTTTAAAAACAAAAAGTTTAATACAAAATTACCCATTATATTTAATACTGTTTATGCTCTAAAACTCACTGTTCTTTTAATGGCAGATTTTTTAACCTCTGAGTAAAGTTACGCATAAGTATAATCTATAGCCTAATCAGCAAGTAGTTACTTTCAACTTTATTCAGAGGTAAAAACCTGGCCTTTAATCTTAATATAATTGTGGAGGATGGAGACTACATTTGCTAGGGATTAGGGAATAACAAAGATATAACTACTATAATGACACTTGCTAAAAACTGTATAAGTTCTATGTACCTGCAGATAGAACCATGTGAATAACTTTAGTGCTTCGATAACACAACATTGATAATTAACAGATGAACATATTGGTCACAAAAACAAATTAATTAATATATTCTACCAATCTCATTTTTTCCAAAAAGTACAGTTACAACCTTGTTATTCTTTGAGATGTATTTATTACTGATGCTTATTAATAAAAATAATAATAATTGATATAGGTACTTACTGATCTTTGGAAACATATATACTCCAGTCCAGTGAGACTTCATTATTCTGGTATAATGCTATTTCACAGAAATGTTTGTAATTCCAATCACTATGTATGGATTTGATTATAGTAGGTATAAAACTAAATGTTTATTGAATATCTTTAATCTGGGCAATGAAAATCACAAAACTCACTTTAAAAATAATAAGCTTCAATCTGAGTACCATAGTTAAGGTCCACTTCTTCATTTTATAATCAGTAACCCACTGTATTGCTGTTTTTGCCAAAGCCAAAGGTAATATTTGAACACAAAACAAAATCAGCTGTTTTTTATAAACACCCCTATTTCACTTATTTAGTAGCAAGTCTCTGGCAGCAACTTGTAACTTAATTGGAGCATATTTATTAAATCTTGAACACTTTTTTGATCATATAAACTCACACATCAGTGCAGCTTGTTTAAAAAAAAACACTTATAAGCAACCATCAATAACAATAAACTTATTTGTTGACCATTAATTTTTTCATCTGTACTTCTTCTGATAGTTTTGTCATTTTTCATTTCATATAAACTCGAATTTTCACCATAGAAGAACTATTTTTATGATTGCACTTTTTCTGACAGATAGAAAGATTGCCGCAATTTTCCGCCGTAACGACACTAGCGAACCTAGCGGATTTTTGCCCTAAGTACGACCGGTTTTGGTATGTTTTTTTCAGGGAGTTGAAACACCTTTATAGTGCGCCGTGGTACCATCTGCGCATCCATCACGAGTGTAGAAATTATGCGTGATTCAGCCTTCCACTCTTACACACGTAAATGACAAGGAGAGGTTGCCCTAAAGCACTGTAAACAAATTCCAGGATCGACTTTATTCAGCGATTATGTTCATGTTCAGCTCTGTTTTTTATTTGTGTTTTGGCTGTTGTAAGCTTTTTTGGCGTCAATTCTTTGTTATCTTGCTTATATTTATGATTTTTTATGCTTTTATTCCGATTTAGTATTAAATTATACTTGTTAATTATTTTTCGATGCACTATTTTATAATTGTTGCACAAAATGTTGTTAAACCGTCCCTGAATTTTGTTTACAAAATGTGCAAAACGAAATTGTGCATAGTGTCCAGACTTTTTCATTGACAGTTATCATTCTACCCCTCTCCACTTCATTGGATATGATGGAATCTCCGAGCGGAAATTATAGTTTTTCTACTGATGGCTAGAGGGTAGCATAATAAACCAACAGGTGTACCAACATGGTACCATACCAACAGGAGCTAACTTAATTTTTATAACCTCACTTCTCGCTTATTTAAATTAATTTTTAAATATTTTGTTGTAAATATGGTAGACGAAAGTACTAGGAAAACTTTAAGTAATATCCCTTTATTAAAAACTAAAGCTGGTCCTAGAGAGAAAGAACTATGGGTGCAGAGGCTAAAAGAAGAATATCAATCATTAATTAAGGTATTTTTTGTAAAAATAGCATGAATGTTTATTAACATATGTTTTTATTATAGTATGTCCAAAATAATAAAGACGCTGATAATGACTGGTTTAGACTCGAATCTAATAAAGAAGGGACCAAGTGGTTTGGAAAGTGTTGGTTTATTCATGAGTTATTAAAATATGAGTTTGATGTAGAATTTGAGGTAAGACAGGTACCCAATACCTTAGAATTTTTTAAATTTAATTCACATTTTAGATTCCAGTTACCTACCCAACTACAGCTCCAGAAATTGCGTTACCTGAACTAGATGGAAAAACTGCCAAAATGTATAGGGGTGGTAAAATATGTCTAAGTGATCATTTTAAACCATTGTGGGCACGAAATGTACCCAAATTTGGTATAGGGCATGCAATGGCTTTAGGGGTAAACAATGATTTAATTTTGAACCTCGAATTATATTTTGATATTTTATTTTATTTTTAGCTTGGACCCTGGTTGGCAGTAGAAATTCCAGATTTAATATCTAAAGGAGTAATATCTTACAAAGAAAAGTCAGAAAAATAATGTCGTTCAAAGTTAATTGGTTATTAAATAGGAATAAATTAATTCTTTTTGATATTAATACAACTCTTAGGTCCGTATTTATAAACAGAACTCAGCTGAGTCGTCCTTGAACTAAAATCAAAGTTAGGTTATATCGCGTGAATTTAGAGATGGGTGGTAACAAATCCGTAAATGTAAGACGTTGTAACCGAACTTCGATTTTAGTTCAAGTCAGACTCAGGTGAGTTCTGTTTATAAATACAGACTTTAAGAGCTTAGGTAAAATAGTTTACGAAATGATGTATAAAAGTCTTAAGTGCATATGTTAGAGCCATTTTATTTATGTGGGGGATTAATATTTATTTCATTTAATATGAACTTTGCTATCATAAATCTGTAAAAAACTGATTCATTTTATGTTAAAAAAATCCAACAATTTTCTGCCACTATTTCAGTAAGATTTTATATATATTTTTTTACCTATTGAAATTTGTAGAACTAATAAACTATTATTTCCTGTATTTTTAATATATATTTTGATACAATTATAAGATATTTTGTGAAAATATGTAATTTTTGTGATTGTAATGCTATTCAAAATTTAAATATCTAAAAAATTAAAATAGTCTGTTTTTGAAACAAAAAAATATTTCTTTTGTTGGAGTACATTTGACTGCAATTACTTTTTCAATAAACCAAAATCTTTTGTATACAGAAAAACATTCAAATATGAAAATGAACAGTATGCTTAACAGTTTATTAATGACCTATTAAACCATTGTCATGAAAGTTTCTTGTGCGTTGATGGTGTTCCACAAACTTGTAGTTTTAAAAGTAGTTAAAAAGGCCAAAAAATAGTGCATCTTATATCAAATGTTTCAGAAAATTTAGATCTATACAAAGAAGTAATTTTATTTTATCATGGATGGAACTAGAACACTAGATGATTTATTTTAATTGGTAGACAAAACTAATCAAAACCTCTTCACACAAATTGATACTTGTGTGAAGATAGCTCCCAGAGCCAGCTCCCACCCCCCACCAACGAGCACAATTCACACAGCACTACTATTTTTAAATTATCAGAGTAAGAGACACTGCTGTGCTTGTGATCACGCTGCTTGTTACATATTAAACCAAATTAGGATATCTTCATTATTTATACAGGGTGTAACAAAAAGTTGTATAGTATATTAAACCGAAGTTTCTGGGATCGAAAATAAGCCGATTTAATGTAACTTGATTGTATAAAAAAAGAATAGTAAAAAACTTACAGGGTGTTAAAGTAGAAATTTTAGAAGTGATTTTTTACTCTTACTCTAAAACGGCTTAAGGTAGTTCACTCGCGACAGTCGTACATAAAAATATCGCTTAATGGTGAATACCAATTGTTCGAGATTCTCAATGCTAATCAATTTTATTTTTGTAAGGGACTGTACAAAACACATGTAAGCTTATATACATGGATATGTTATGATTTTAATAAAATCCATCTGGCAACCTTATAAATATAGGAATGGTTTGCTATAGAAATTTGTGACTTCTTCATATTAATTTTAAGGGTTTGTTTTGATTCAAACAGAACCGCTGATTCCAGTTCTCCAAGACTGTGGACGAATTAATTTTTCAAGAAAACGTCGCGAGGTTTTAACAACCTCTTAGCTGATCGAGTGTTATTTTAATACAACGCGTTGATTGCAGCGTATAGAATGTTGCCAAGTTGTAATAATTTTACGCAACTATATACGCATCGATTGCTTTAAAAATATGTTTATTTTAAAAATCTATATCTTTTTACTAAGACGGTCAAAAAATTCAGCGTTTCTTTAGAAATATAACTTTTTGATTTACATTACATTAGTTTTTAAAAAATATGGTAAGAACCGTTTTCGAGATATCTTGAAATAAATGCATTACTTGTGTACATGAGAGGCTTCAAGAGTGTTAATTATGCACATTTTGATTGTTAATATCTCGTTTCACAGACGTTTAAAAAATTTAATTTTTTTTAGTTACATAAAAGACACTTTCATTGACCATATATTTCAATTTTATTGAATTCTTAAGAAAAGCCGTTTTACGAGTGAACTAACTTAAAATATTTTTATTACTTTTCTACTCAAAATATGGTAAAAACAACCAAAATAAAAGATTTAAAGTATTTTTAAGCGAGTGTTTGGTTTAAAATATTTTTTTAAATCGTTTAAATTTTAGCGATGCAACTATGATATTACGTACTTGAAACCAAAGCTAAAATCTTTGAACCACTTAGCGGCATATGAGCTGTTTTTTAGCCACCAAACTGGTTTAAAATAAATTTTAAACGTCATTAATTAATAGATGGCAAAAATCAGGTGTAGATGTAATAGTAGTTCCGCTAAAAACAGTATAGTACCGAATTATATACAATCTATAGAACGTTTTGTCAATTTTTTTTTAAAAAACTGATTTCTGTATATACTCAATAAAGAACCGGCGCCAAAACAACTTTTCAAATATATGGAGTCATACAATAAATATAAGAAAGACGAATTCTTGGAAAAATTATAATAAATCATAACTTCAAAAATCAGCTTTGAGACACGATCGAAACTAGTACAATAATTAAAAACATTGTCCCACTATTTACAGTAAAAATTTCAACTTCCCAAATGTACGGCGTCATAGGAATAAAAAAATAAGAAATAAAAAAGAGGAATTTTTGGAAATATAATAAATCATAATTTCAAAAATCATCTTTGAGACACGATCGGAACTAGTACAATAAATAAAGCCATTGTCCTACTATTTACAGTAAAAATTTCAACTTCCCAAATATACGGCGTCATACGAATTAAAAAAGAGGAATTTTTGGAAATATAATAAATCATAATTTCAAAAATCAGCTTTGAGACACTATCGAAACTAGTACAATAAAGAAAGCCATTGTCCTACTATTTACAGTAAAATTTCACTTTCCCAGATATACGGCGTCATACGAATAAAAAAATAAAGAGTAAAAATTGGAATTTTTGAAAAAATTCAAATAAATCATAACTAAAAAAATCAGGTTTGAGACACGATCTAAACTAGTACAATAAATAAAGCAATTGTCCTACTATTTACAGTAAAAACTTCAACTTCCCAAATATACGGCGTCATACGAATTAAAAAAAGAGGAATTTTTGGAAATAATATAATAAATCATAACTTCAAAAATCAGCGTTGAGACACGATCGAAACTAGTACAATAATTAAAAACATTGTCCTACTATTTACAGTAAAAATTTCAACTTCCCAAATGTACGGCGTCATAGGAATAAAAAAATAAATAAAAAAGAGGAATTTTTGGAAATATAATAAATCATAATTTCAAAAATCATCTTTGAGACACGATCGGAACTAGTACAATAAATAAAGCCATTGTCCTACTATTTACAGTAAAAATTTCACTTTCCCAGATATACGGCGTCATACGAATAAAAAAATAAAGAGTAAAAATTGGAATTTTTGAAAAAATTCAAATAAATCATAACTCAAAAAATCAGGTTTGAGACACGATCGGAACTAGTACAATAAATAAAGCAATTGTCCTACTATTTACAGTAAAAACTTCAACTTTCCAAATATACGGCGTCATACGAATTAAAAAAGAGGAATTTTTGGAAATAACATAATAAATCATAACTTCAAAAATCAGCTTTGAGACACGATCGAAACTAGTACAATAATTAAAAACATTGTCCTACTATTTACAGTAAAAATTTCAACTTCCCAAATATACGGCGTCATAGGAATAAAAAAATAAGAAATAAAAAAGAGGAATTTTTGGAAATATAATAAATCATAATTTCAAAAATCATCTTTGAGACACGATCGGAACTAGTACAATAAATAAAGCCATTGTCCTACTATTTACAGTAAAAATTTCAACTTCCCAAATATACGGCGTCATACGAATTAAAAAAGAGGAATTTTTGGAAATATAATAAATCATAATTTCAAAAATCAGCTTTGAGACACTATCGAAACTAGTACAATAAAGAAAGCCATTGTCCTACTATTTACAGTAAAATTTCACTTTCCCAGATATACGGCGTCATACGAATAAAAAAATAAAGAGTAAAAATTGGAATTTTTGAAAAAATTCAAATAAATCATAACTCAAAAAATCAGGTTTGAGACACGATCTAAACTAGTACAATAAATAAAGCAATTGTCCTACTATTTACAGTAAAAACTTCAACTTCCCAAATATACGGCGTCATACGAATTAAAAAAAGAGGAATTTTTGGAAATAATATAATAAATCATAACTTCAAAAATCAGCGTTGAGACACGATCGAAACTAGTACAATAATTAAAAAAATTGTCCTACTATTTACAGTAAAAATTTCAACTTCCCAAATGTACGGCGTCATAGGAATAAAAAAATAAATAAAAAAGAGGAATTTTTGGAAATATAATAAATCATAATTTCAAAAATCATCTTTGAGACACGATCGGAACTAGTACAATAAATAAAGCCTTTGTCCTACTATTTACAGTAAAAATTTCACTTTCCCAGATATACGGCGTCATACGAATAAAAAAATAAAGAGTAAAAATTGGAATTTTTGAAAAAATTCAAATAAATCATAACTCAAAAAATCAGGTTTGAGACACGATCGGAACTAGTACAATAAATAAAGCAATTGTCCTACTATTTACAGTAAAAACTTCAACTTTCCAAATATATGGCGTCATACGAATTAAAAAAGAGGAATTTTTGGAAATAACATAATAAATCATAACTTCAAAAATCAGCTTTGAGACACGATCGAAACTAGTACAATAATTAAAAACATTGTCCTACTATTTACAGTAAAAATTTCAACTTCCCAAATATACGGCGTCATAGGAATAAAAAAATAAGAAATAAAAAAGAGGAATTTTTGGAAATATAATAAATCATAATTTCAAAAATCATCTTTGAGACACGATCGGAACTAGTACAATAAATAAAGCCATTGTCCTACTATTTACAGTAAAAATTTCAACTT